CCCTCTGACGATCCCTGGTAGAGAGGGGAGCTGAGAGAGACTGGAGATGATGGAAGTATCTCTCATTGGGGCCTCTAGCCTCCCCTTGTCCTCATGCCTCCCTGGGTCCTTCCCACCCAGATTGTCTCGCTTGGGGGGGATGCAAAAGCATGAATCAGAGTTGAGAGGTGGAGTGTGTGTGTGTGTGTGTGTGTGTGTGTGTGTGTGTGTGTTCATGAGCACAATTTTAGCCTCATAGTTGCCTTGAACTTAATGCCAAAAGGCTGGATTACAAGATGCAGCCGAAAGCAAATTGAGGTGTGACTCCTCATCTATTCAAAAGCCCATAGACCTTTGGGAACGAAATAGGAGCGTGGGCGACTTGGGACGATGCTGGCTGAGGAGGTTGGGCGGGGCAGGCGCGGGGCTCTGTGCTGACGCTGGAGGGGTAGGGCATGGCTCTGACCCTAGTTGCTGCACAGCCTTGACCGTGAACTCGAACCCTCAGGCTACCCTGGTTATGGTTTACAGAAGTCTCATTTGTAACACCCCGTTTAAAAGGCCACCGCTGCCTTTTCGTTCTCTAATCGCTGCCTTGAGTCTGTCCAGATGGGCCTATCTGTATGTCTGACCACTTGATTCAGTCTGGAAAGCTCTAGAGTCTTCCCTAAAGTAAAAGCCCAGTAACAGTCTGCTGGGGGAGGGGACGGCAGAAGAGAGGTGATTTTTCTCCCGACCCTGCTCTGAGCTGTCAGTTAAAAACAGAAGCCCTTCACTGTAGTTCGCTGGGGGTGACAGTGGCCAGAGGAGTTCCACGTTTCTGCAGAGCCAGAGCGAAATCAGATTATGTTCAATTAATCCACAAATATTTATTAAACGCCTGCTTCGTATCACTTTCCAGGATATGTGTCCGTTTAAGTAGAAACACACCCAAAAGTTCAGCCAAGTTTAGTGGAGTGTTATTTCGAGGCCTTTCTTTCTTAGCTCTTCTCTGCAGGCCTAGCTCTGCTCTGCGTTACTTCGATGGCTACATGGAAGCAGAGAGGAAGGCCCGGATTCCCAGCAGATACCTAGTGTGCCTCATGAGGACTGACTCCCCATGGAAGATGCCCAGGGCACACCTCCGTGGGCGCCCTCCGGGGTAACCGGTCATTTTGAGTGCAAGTCTCCCTGACCATCCCAGGATTTCAGCACATCCCAGGATTTCAGCACATCGCAGAGCCCTGGGAACCCAGAGCCTCCAGGTCCAGCCTGTGATCTGCCCTTGATCTCAGTTATGTGCGGAAAAATAAGATCACTTGAGACTGAAAACATCCGTCTTCAAAACAGACAAAGGGGCTGAGGGTGGGGGAGGAAGAGGAGGGAAGGCGCCAGGAGAGGAGGGTTGGGAGGAAGGGGCCAGACTGCGTGGAGCTGCGTGTGCTCAGCCCGCTTCCTTGCCTCTCTTCCCACCAGGACTCGCCGCCTCGCGTAGCCAGTGCTCACAGAAGACCAGACGCGGCCTCTGCTTCAGAAGATATCCCCCTCCCCGCTGGGGACTTTGGGGGCTGCACTGAACCCAGCGAAGCTGATAGCAATGCCAGTTATCATTGTGGTCATTAATAATGCAGTGAGGATCACAATAATTAATAATAATAATGATGATGGCTCTCCCGAGGGGGCCCCAGCTGCCTCGGAATAAAGCAGCTTTCCAAAGCGACGAGGGGGTTTTTGTTAGGTGACGGGCGGTGAGCCGGGGAAGGGGGCCTGCTCGATGCGCTGAAGTTCAAGTTGACGGTGGAGGCGGCGGGCTGCGCCGAGCTGTGCTCCCAGCGGCGGCCAGGCCTCTGCGGGCGCCGAACCACGCGCACTCAGGCCCCACGGGAGCCGCGGCCGCTTCACTCTCGAGGTGCTGCGATCAATGCACCACCGGCAGGTTAGATCCACGCTCCGTCCAGGCGGGGGCGGGTGGGGGTCCCGCGTTCCACCCCCCACCAGTCAGATGCCTCACTGTGGCGCAGACCCAGCACCAGGAAAGTGAAGCAAATTCTAGCATCTTTTCATATTCCTTTACTTTTGCCATCTCTCCCTAATTCTGTCCCCGAGTTTCTTGAGCGCTGAGGCGAAAGCTTCCTACACTGGGATTTCCCCATTCGACAAAGCCGTGGGACTCCCTGGGAAAGGGAGACTCATTCTGGGGGAGAGCTGTGCGCACCCGCCAGTACGGCCTCCGAGGGGCCCGCCCCAGGCTGGGATCTCTGCGTTCCCTCCCATTAAATATCATGGCTTCACCAGACACCCCCCCCCCAATCCCGGATATAAAGGGACCTCTGGTAGTTCGCCTGACACTCAGAACTGGAAGTGCTGGCTGCTGAGAATAGTCCTCTAGTCGTGTCCCCTACACAGACACACACCCCAATGTGAAGGAGCGCCCAGGCCTCCCCCGCTTAAATGTTGAGCATTGTCTACAGCACACACAGAGTTTAAAATAATTGACATAAGCTTTTAGTTTTGCTCAGTAGATTAGGAGGAATACTTTATCTTGAGTCCTCTATATCCACCATTCTAAAAATGGCTGATGGGGGTTTTGGATAATCTGAAATTATTTTCATCACAGCTTATTATGTACTCAATGAACTCTCCCAAAGATCAGCAACATATGCCAATTATTTTAATAATTTTACTTAATATTATTAGGGGTTATAAATTAGATTTTAATAAGGAGTTGATTGCTTCAGAAGTTGGGCGCTGGGGCAGCTGGAGAGGGCAAGGCTCACATCTGTCTCCCTGTTACACACACACACACACACACACACACACACACACACACACACACACACACACACACACACACACACACACACACACACCCCGGCCCACACCCACACTAGAGGCCCTCTGGCCAAGCCCTGCAGCTCATTCCTGATGCTGGAGAGGAAGGAGAAAGATACAGCACATCAGTCCAGCCACCAGTGGCTCTGGCTCCACAATACCTTCTCAGGAGGCATTCCTGCAGGCTGCAGGAGCCTCTGGGAACTACAGAACATTCAGCAAAATGAAGATGTCTTTCTGATGTCTCAGCCATTTAAAAATCTTCCCACCTCTCCTTTGGCTATTAAAACGATTTCTGTTTTCCCTTTAGAGTATGTGATTTGAAAACTGATAAAATTCCCAGCCAGAATGGGGCTAACTTTCCCATCACTAACATTAACATCAGTCAGTGTCCACTGCACTCACCTCCACCTGACAATTTTATTTACATCTTGCTCAGCTTTATTTTACCCACGTCTTGAAGATGCTTTCTTGCTTTGTTATCCACTTTCCTCAAAAGAATGAAAAAGTGGTCAATTTTATCACCTTCTCATAAACATCCTATTTAATCAGTACACAGCAGCTGTGTAGATGGGACAGAACTTTCTGCTTACAATTTCACAGAAGGGAAAACAAAACACTTTTCACAGAAGCCAGCTTGTAACTTTAATCATTGGGCCAAGTTCAAAAACAAAGTACTCAGCTCAGTTTTAAACTTGCAATTAAAAATAACTGCACCTCTGCTTTTCAGAGGGAGGGAGAGGAAAGGGGGCAGGGAATGGGGAAAACAAAGAATAAGGAAATGTTTAGTGCTCTTAAATCCAGTCCAAATAGAAGAAAGAAAGGCACTCCCTCAGATAATGGAGCCATTAGAAACTCTGAAGGTTCCTGTGGCCATTCCTCACAGGGCCTTTCCAAAAATTTAATTCATTCTCAGCTACCAAACAAAGAATGTTGAAAATAATTTTGAGACTTTCTGCCAAAGGGGCTGTTTGGCATCGTTTCTAGGTACACCTTCCTCCCCAGAATGTGTGGGGAGGCATCCCAGGCCAACGGATCTTACTCTTACTTTCAGTTGCCTCTTCCCCGGTTTTCTTTAATAACATTGCTAGGGGGGAAAAAGGTTCATGCAGTTTCAACACATTTTATTATATTTCTGTATGCATTACTCTCAAAACATATCACAAGAATGATCAAACCACTTAAAACCTTCAAATAAAAAAATCTGAAACAGTTTTATCCCCACAAGTGTACATATTTATAGTTAAGAAACATTCTTTATAAATATTGTTTCCTCTGTAGCAAGTTAATACCATAATTTAATTACAAATGGATAAATATGGTAACGGGTATTTACAGAAGGAAGGGTGTTATTACGGAAAAAGCTAACAGCACGACGATTATTCCCCGCCCTCCCCCCAACAATCTTTCATACAGGAACTAACAAATTGAACTTGCAAAAGCACTAAAACATCACATGTAAACCCAGCTAACAGAAAAATACATTCACAAGCGTTGGTGGTGATGGTGAGAATGTGTGTGCTGCGGATCGGTGCGCTGGAGGAATGGAAGGGAGACTTTGGCACGGTTCGTTTTTTCCAGTCTATAGTTGCATGAAGTTTACAATCAAGTTGCCTCATAAAAAGGAACACAATATTCAATATCACAATACAAAATAAGCCATTTTCTTCCACGTTACTTAAAAAGAAACTGGGCAAACTAAAAAGAGAAAAGAAAAAGTCATCACTGGGAGAAGGGAGAGGGGAGGCAGGGAGGAACGCAATCCGGAGTTTACAAACGGACAAACTTCTATACACCAAGAATCCATTAAAACCACCTCGGAGCAGGAAGGAACTGGCTATGTACACAGTTTGTCAGAAGACGAGGAACAGGGTGGGAAGGAAAGTGGACATGGAGGGGAACAAGAGGGCTTGGTTTATTATTTTTATACGTTTTTTTAAAAAAAACTTTTATTTCTTGACTTCATAGTTTCCGTTTCTGAGACTCAGAAGTGGTATTTTTGCTTTTCATGCCTAGATTATTAATTTAAAAAAAACCAACAAACTCACAACTTTTAAAAATCCTTCTGCTGGTAAAATCATTTTCATTATCATAGAAATCAGATTCCTAATTAAAACAACACGATCACAAATTCCCCCTTGGCGCTAGCCTCGGGACAGGACTGCTCGGCCAGGGTGCTGACAGGGAGAGGGAAGAGAGGCCCAGGCCCCTCACACGTACCATTCATTGAAGTTGGAGGAGAGGCCGCTGTGGCCTCCAGCCGTCC